AAAAATAAAGTTAAATAACTTGCTAATTATACAAGTATATGATCTAAAAATAATATAACATAATCATCAAGAGATAAAGTTTTATATAGTTAAGTCAAGGACATAAGTTAATTAGTAAGTTTTTGAGTTATAAGCCAAGTCCTTAGATGTGAAAATATTTTTGTCACCTCCCTGTAGTTCTTTTTTCACTGATTCATTTTCTTACTTCAGAAGTTCTTTTTCTCTTTGTGATATTTTTATTTGGCACAGCTTTTTTTTTCTCAGTGCTTCGTTGTTTTTTCTTTTTTATTTCTTTTTGAGAATATTTTATCTTTTTTTTCATACTCTACTTTAAAATCAATGATTTTTTTTTAGTTCTTAAAATGACTGAGGCTCAATGTTTAAACCATTACGTTAGTGACTACTATATGAATTATACTCTTCATTCAGAGAAAGATTTTGGTTTAGTATTATTTTTTGAATCTTCAATGACAGATGTATTACTAGAAGTTAATAACAGTATATATTATTATCTTGATGACTATCATGTGGATTATACTTATAATTCAGATGATGATTTTGGTTTGATATCACTTTTTGAGCCTTTAACAAAAGATATATTATTAGTAGTTGAAAGTGTTGATAATAGCATATCTGAAATTAATAGTTCTGATAGTAAATCTAAAGATAGTCTCTTAAAAGAAATTTATAGTAAGCAAACTTTTACTTCTTTTGATATACTTGAACAGTATTTAAAACATTATTCTGTGCAAATAGGTTTTGAAACAAAAATTGTAAGAGCTAAAAAGAAAATGATGTTTGGGCTTGTAAAATATACAAATATTAGCATGGAGGTAAATATATGGCTAAAAAAAAATTGGATTCTACAAAAACTAGAGAATAAGAATCAAATTGCATAGAATGTGATTTTATACTAAATATTTTATATCATAAATATACAGATCTTGTTTATATTAACAAATTTGTTAAGAATTATAATCACAAGCTAAATGATAGCGAATTAATTAAACAGTTTGCATCATCATTATGTAAGTTACTTACTAATATTAAAGAAGAAATCTGCTTTTATGTTCAAAAGTATCAATTAGAGGTGACCGTTTTAAAATGAATATTGAGAGACAAGTTTTCTAATCAAGAAATCTATAGCCAGGATCTTTATAATTTAATAAATAAATACAGAACTGATGTTCAGATTAAAAACAATACAATAACTTTATATAAGTACTTATTAAAGTTGTAACAGGAAAATTCTAAGTGGTATTTCAAAATTAACTTTGAGAAAATTGATAAGCAAGAGGGTGTAGTGATATAGAGTAGTGGTTAAGTTATCATCTCCTAAGTGACAGATCTAGAGTTTGATTCTCACTAGAGATATTTTTCGAAAAATAGGCCTATGTTCTGGTAACATTTATTTGATGATCAGTTAGGTATATCACCTGTAATCTTGGTACTACTATCTTGAAATAGAAGCTTTAGACTGATCCAAATTCAAGAAACCAGAATATTTAAAACCTGTTTGGCAAGACCTGAGCTAGGAGTAGTAAAGATCTTTAATGATACTATAGAAAATCAGAACTAAAAACTGAAGAACTGGACAAACAACTCTGGGCAAGAAGGGTTCACCAGCCTGGCCACCAAAGTCATACCGAAAGAAAAGATCCAATACTTTGGAATTCAAAACCAAGAGAAGTAAAACCAGAAGGCACTTAGAGCCTAGGTACAACAACTCTTCCGAGCTAACTGGTTTGGTAGTTGGGGAGGGATCAGTATAAGGACTAGTTGAAAGTAGATATCAGGATCAGAACAAACCTTGTAAAGAGCAAGGAGTAGGTAATGGTAGCAGTCACAAAAACTGCAAGTACTAGTTCTCAGATTAGGTATAAGTTACCGAAAAACTCAGGAAATACATATGTGAGATATAGACCTCTCTGGTAGATTTACTACGAGGATAAAGTAGTTCTAAGAGGCTTTAGCAGCAAGAATTCTTTCAGAGAAAGTATCTGACAGTGCTAAGTTGATCAGAGAGTTTAAATAGAGGATCTACAAGCAGATTCTAGGTATGGCAATTGGTGAGTAACTATAGATAGTATAGTGGAATCCTTAATTAGACAATGACTAAAGTTGTATATGTGACCAATTGTACTCTCATTAATATAACAAAGTCAAAGGGTACCTAATCAGTATTCTGATAATTAAACTGAGAAGTTAATAAACCATGCCAGACCCCCAAGTGGTATTTTAATATTTAAAAAAAAAAGAAAATTAATAATCAGCTCTTTAGGATTTTTGAATATCGCCTAATTAAAAAAGTTTATAGGCTTGATTTCATGATATGGTTATTAATAATAACACATGTAAAACAAATAAATATATGATACCTTTAAGCATCTTTATTGTAATAGACTCAGATCACAGAAGCTGTATTGTGGCAACAGCTATAGTTAGTGATAAGACAGTATCAATCTATAAGTAAATCTTAGAACAAATACTATTAGCCACTAATAATCTTCGATCAGCAACAATTTTTACAGATACTGATCTGGAATGCAAGTGGCTTTAACTAATAAATATCTTGAGACTACTGTTTAACATTATACATTTTATATTTGACAAAACTTGATTAAAAAACTTAAAAAAAACTTAATAACAAATAAAATATATTTATTCCAGATTTTTTATATATTACGAAACTCACTTGTAGTATCTAAATTTGATTGCTGTTGGCTAGAACTAATAAATAATTATCTAGAAGTTTAACAATACTGCAAGCAGGTATTGTACTCAACTAAAGAATGTTGGGCATATATATTTACAAAATGAAGTTTTTTAGCAAATACTCATTCGACACAACATGTTGAATATATAAATAGGATTGTGAAATTAGAAGTGAATTTAGACAATTCTTTGTGTTAGCTTCAATTTAAAATTAGATAGTGATTAAAAGATGAAGTTAAATATTGAAATTCTAAGAATTTTAAAATATAAATCTGATAACAAGTTTTTTGCATATGTCAAATATAATTTTCAAAAAAATTGATAACATGTATAAGAAATATTTTATACGAAATTCATTAGTTTTACAATAAAAGCAAATTATCGAAAGTCTTTTATATAGATCGTTATTATATGATGGTCAACTTGATATTAATACAAATCAGACATGTAATTTTTTTAGATTTTATTTTTGATATTTGGTCAGATTATATAAGTCTAGATTAAACACAAAGAAGTAATAATATATTATTACAAAAAACAATTAGTTATATGTTTATCTATAGCTAATTGTTTTGTGTGATGATTTAGCATCATTCTTTGTATTTAATCTTGACTAAGATGCATATATATATTTTATTTGGTTAGAAGACGAATCATCATCATAGTGCTAGATTTATAGAAGATGATTACAAAAAACTGCAAATCCTACTAGATATGGTTTTAGAAGATTGTTCTGAAAGCAATATAAGTAAAATTTAAGAAGTTAAACATACAGTATTCAAAATACAACCAACTATTCACAATTCATCTTATTACTTAATGATAGTATACACTATTGCACGTGTCTCTATTTGATATATATGAGATTTATTTGTTAGCATTTTTTCCCTATACTGATTCTGTTAAAAAAAGTACTTTTTAATATTAAATTGATATTTTCTTGTTGGCATTCTAAAGAAGGTTTTTTAATATTTGATAAAAACCAAGAATCATCTATTCAAGTAGTATGAAGTAATGACAGTTCTATTTCAATTGGTATATTTCAAGTGTTAGAAAAGATTTGTAAACAAGAAGTTAATAGTAAAATAGCTATAGAATCAGATTCAAAAAAAGTATCTTATGGACGTGGTCTCAAAATTTGCAAAAAAGCATTAAATATTACAATTATGAATAGCACAAATAAGGTTTTAGAAGACCTTTTGCAATAATTCATTAATGAACAAAGTTCAATATATAGTAACTGTACTTCTAAACAATCTCAATAAGGCTTATATCAAGAAGTTGATAGTTTTAATATTTCAAATCCTTCTCAGCATAAAGGCAAAGGACATTCTGCAAACAAGAGATATTTGTCAACAATTGAAAATTATGGCAACAAACATGTTCTTTCAAATAATAATAATGAAATTTCAGAGTTTGGGTCAAAAAAAAATAAACACTAATGCACTATATGTAAGTTATAGTATCATGATTTCTAAAACTGCTTTACAGAAAAATAGTTATGAAACTAAAAATTTAGATCAAGTAGTGGGAGGGTGTTTATGTTGTTTATGTTGCTTATTTTGCTACTAATTTTGCTATATCATTTATTTTGCTGCTAATGTTGCTCATATTGCTTATTTTATATTGCTTTGTTGTTATACTATTTATGTTGTTGTGCTACTTATATTGTTTATGTTGTAATTCATAAATTCATGTTGCTTGATTGGTATAAAGAGCCTGTCTTTTAAAAGAATAGTATGAAGCTAAATGCAAAAGATTAAGTAGTAGATAATGTTTTATGTTGCTTATATTATAGTTTATAAATTCATATTGAAATCATAAATTGAGAATAGCTATAAGTGCAAAAGTTATATTTAACGGATATTATTTGTATAATTCTTCAACTTAAATTTTATAAGATCATTTGAATGGTTTTAAGCATGAAATTTATGTTGAAGTATTAGATTTATTAAACATATATTTGATTTAAGCAAACCTATTTGTAGTATGTTCATATTCATTGTTAGCATATATATGGTAGATTTTATTTCTTTAGAAGGTTAGTTGAATTTAGAGGTAGTATTAAAAGACAAGAAATAGCTGATAAAATTGCTAAATTTTATTTTTGAGTAGATGTAAGAAGTGTCTAAAATTTGAATGTACAGATCAAATCAAATTACTTTATTCAAAAAATTCGACTAGGTTCATATATTCAAATTTTAGATACTAGATGTAAGCTACATAGTTAACAAATTGGTTATAGTATTTATGTGATTTTATTGTCTATATTTATGGTTTTAAAAGCATGAAAAAATTCTGTGCCAGGCTTTGTCAATTATTGTAGCACAGATTCCTAAATTACAAATAAGATTTTATGAATCAAGTGTAATATAACATGATTGAGAAATTTTAAAACAAAGCTTTGTTTTTTAAAAATCATTTATTTCTCAAACTTTGCATAAAAAACTATTTTTAGTGCTCTAACAAAAAGTGTTTCTTGAGCAATTTTACTATATACTCATCTAACCTTTAATCTTATTCTAAATGCTAATCTTACTTTAATGTGCCTTAAAAATTTTGCTTATGCTATAAACCTGACACAGAATTTTTTTATACATTTTAGAATTATAGTTAGAGACAATTAAAATGCTATAAAAATTGTATATTGTATAATAATTTATATGTATTAATTTAAAAAAAATAAAGATATATACTTTGCAGAAATCTTACATTTTTGCAAAAGCAACAAAATATTTTAGATTTAGCGTAAATGATTAATAATATAGGACTCTAACAGAAAATTTTTATAGCAAAGTGCTAATTTAGCTTCTTACTAGCACTATTAATGAGGTTTCGACAAGGCTTTTTGACTGAGTATGAAAATTATAAATTTTTCATATTCAGTCATAAAGCCTCGTCAAAACCTTGTTAATAGTGCTAGTAAGAAGCTAAATTAGCGCTTTGCTATGAAAATTTCCTGTTAGAGTCCTATATTATTAATCATTTACACTAAATCTAGGATATTTTGTCACTTTCACAAAAATGTAAAATTTTTGCAAAATATATATATTTTTTAAATTTGATTGGTTAATTTAAGATAGAATATTAGTATCCCTGGTAATAATTAATAATAGTCTAAAAATAATTATATAAAAACTAATTTTTAAAAATATTATATATCAAATCTATTGATAGTTAAAAAAATATGATCACAAGATTATTGCACTACAAAAACTATGATCATTTAATTTATAATGATTGCAAAATCACTATTATAAGATTATCAATTGTTTTATTATAGTTATCTATATATCAATTTTACTACAAAATTCTAACATCCAAAATCTCAACAGACTATAATATTGACATCACACAATGTGATAATTAAAATTTAAAGTCTGGCAATAATTGTTAATGTGATTACTAATCTTTAAATATTAATTGTCATGTCAGAATTATGGTTTCGAGATTTTGGATGTCAGAATTTTGTGATAGAACCTCTATATATTAGATAAAAGAATAAATGAAGCTCTGGTTATGATCATTTTTACTTAAATATTGTATAAAAAATAGCATTAAAATAGTACGATTATTTATAAGGTAAAGAAGTTTTAACAGAGTAGCTCTCTAGAGCTGAACGAACATCTTCCATATTAGTAAGTGTCATGCCAATTCGCAGTGTTTTACTTGACATCATAGTGGTTTGTTATAACAATAAGCAATTTTATACAAAGAAAATAAAATTTAATAAATTAATTTACAATCGATCGTTACATATTTTATGCGCTTAATAACTACATTTGTCGATGCTTAAATTTCTCATGCTAATAACGATCAAGCCACAGGCTTGAATAATGTCGCTAATATTTTTTTTATTCGGGCCCGTATTTGTAATTATTTCACTTTCTGGGGCTTTTATTTGTAAATTCCCCATAAAAAATTTTTTAAATCAATTGCCTGTTCTTAAGTAGATTCAGAATCCGCAGGATTCCGAGTCCACTGTTACGACAAAGGAGAGACTTTACTATTGCACCGCCAATTTAACTGTTGGTCGTAAGCATTAAAAATAGGAAACCAATGATTTATTAATATGCACAAGACAATAAAAATACTAGAAATGTAACCGATACCCCAAAAGTGTACCCGGTACACAAAGAATCCTTCAAAATACTAGTTACTATTACTCTATTCCAATTGAGTAAAAGAAGGAAATTCCCATTATTTACAAAGAATATTCATTCTAGTAGACTCAAATTGACTAAGAAATTATGACGCAAATGTTAGAGTAAAGCCTATGACTATAATAAACTATAATAATGTTACATAAAAAGCTTATTTAATGATGTCACGTTTTTTTTCGTAACACCACCTATAACATATATAGACTGATTGTTACATTGCTCTACCAAAATATTGCTTATCTTGTCAAGATGAATTGCAAGATGAATCGAATTTGTTTAATCTTGTTCTTTTCTCCTATTTTGATTCCCTTGCTATTCATTTTTCCTTTCGTTTATTTCTTATTTGGAATTTTATCCAGCCCAATTTGGCTTTTCTTATTTTTACTACAGTACCGGACAGTAAAACGCATCCAATGTTTATTAGTAAAACTTTAAAGTGTTATAACTTTTTGAAAACAAGCTAAATCAAAAAACCCTCTGACAAATTGATAGATTTTTAGATAAACTACATTTCTGTCAGAGGATTTTTTTTTTATTCTTTGTTTTGAAAAAGTTATAAAGGATTAAAGTTTATATGAGTTTAAAAAATTGGCGTTTAATATAGAAAAAAAGAAAACATATATATAATTTTAACCAATCAGAATCAATTACACAAAATTAGCCAATCAGAAATTAATTATATAAGCATCAAAATAACTTCAAGGTATAAGTGGTTTAAGTATGTTTTGTTATGAACCTACCTTTTGTATTGCCATTCTTTTCCAATTGATAAACTACAAAATAAATATTTTTTACAGCAAAAATTTTTCCAAAGAAATGTCATTTCCAAAGGAATTTAGTGAAGAGACAAAAAGACTTGTCGCAGTATGGCGTGACATCGTTCTTGATAAACATAAAGATGATAATGATGAAATTTTTTGTAGCGATCCATTATTAATTATAAAATATAATCAACCGGGTCTTGTTAGCCGAAATATCACAGAAAATCATGTTGCCCAAAGTATAATTATAAATATTGTATTTATATATCTTTTCTGAAGGGTTTTCTGATTTTTTTTTTTTTGAATTAGTAATCCTTGGTACTCCTGGCTATACACCAATACAATTTCCTAATGTCAGGCATCCGCCACAATCCAATTCAGTCTTTGCATTTAATGGCATGCAAATTTTGGAAGATGCTATTACAAGATTATTTGATAACTATCATAATTCAGTGTTGGGACGACGACATCCTACTGTTGGACGTGTCTATGTTGTAGAATTTCACAGGGCCAATACATTTGAAGCTTTAGAACGATTCCATATCTTTGATTGATAATCATTACGTTGTTAGCTTCTATATTTTAGGGGGTGTAGAAGATTCGTACTTGTATTTTGTATTGAATGTACTGTACTGTACATAAATATAAGCGTACTATAATGTGTATCCGTACAGTACACCTTTTCATTATATAAAATGTAAATGAGTACTGTACTATATTGAATAAAAATTATAAACGATAGTACAGTACGATACGTTAAGTTAAGCCTTTTAATATCGTTATCGAAAGCTATTTAAAATTATTGCGAATGGAAACCCTGTTATCGAGGAGTCAAGTTTATTGCTTACCGGACTCTGGTAAATTAAAATTTTGTTACATAGATAAATATAGTATAAGGGGTGTGCCGTTTATTACGTAATTTCTTTTTATTAGAAGACCACACCCCCTCCCCCCTAGGTGATAAACTCAATAACCAATCATAAGGTTTAGATTCAATAGTAAACGTGATAAATTGCCGACCCTCCCACCTCCCCTAAAAAATTAAGTAATAAACGGCACTCCCCTAACGGTAAATTAATAAAAAAAATCGATTCACTTTAAAAGTGTAATTAATTTATATGCGCCTTACATTTCGAATTTGCGATGTTAATTATAAACAATATCATTATATTAATATATATCGATATAACTATTCGCAAAGTGCATATTAATTAAAAGTTCAATTATATAAAGTTTTTAAAGCTTCTCTCACAACATTCTTTCTTTTTTTCAACTCATTATTTTATCCTTTTGATTAGTGATTTGAACCGGGTACCAAATCATTAATCGGTTAACCGAACCGGTAACAACTGATTCCAATCGGGTTACAGCTGTTTTCATAATTTGAATGTCGCTAAAAGAAAACATACACATTTATTTATAGGTCATACATAAAAATGTGTATGTTTTTTTCTTTTAGCGACACTCATTTCTGAAACACCTGATAAAAAATGATTTTTCGGCCGTTCCGGTTAAGTTATTATTTTGGCATAATACATATGGGCGGAAGTTTTTAATAGAGTGCTGTGACTATATAAAATTAGGTGATGTGATAGGTCATTTTAGGTAATCTACTATCAAAGCTCCTAGCTGTTGACCAATCGAATTTTAAGATCAGGTGTAACGTAAAAATTGAAACGGACCACTTTTTTACAAAAAAACAGGAATAG